TCTGCCTGCCTGCAGTCGGGGTCCTGTGGGCAGCTCCTGCTGTTTGCCTGTGGGAAACAGTCTGGGTTTTGTTTGTTTTTTTGTTTGTTTGTTTGTTTTTGTTTTAAATTAACCAGGAAAATCCCTTTTACTTCTATGCTTCTATCCTTTCAACCTTTCAAAGACACCACAATCAAACTCAAACCAAACTAACCTAAGGTAGGTCTGATATCTCATAGGATAATTACCCAAATTAAAAAGTGTCAAAAGTCTGAGAATAAAGGACTGGAAGTAGGTAACTTGTATAGTTTTCAGAGCTTTAGCTACTTCATTCTTTTTGTGGTGCAAATTATTGCTCTAAGGCTGTGTTACTAATACAGACAAGTCCTTCCTTACACAAGGAGCAGCAGAAGCTCTTAGTAACAGCTGAGCTATCTAGCTGCTTGCTAATGTCTTCAGTGGATTAAAAACTGCATGTGTGTATGTCTGAGAGGCAATGACTTCAAATTCATAAAGAATGTTGAAAAAAATTCGTCATTTTTCTTGCCTGTTTGCACACTTACTTGCCCTCTAATGAAGTTAACTGAAATAAAAAAATATCTCTAACTTCTATGAATCTTTGGGCATTTCCAACCAAAGGAAGACTTAGTGAGTTTCTTTTCTACCAGAGAGACCCACCTATCTTCGCTGAGTGCTTTCAATTCTGAAATCTCTTGCATTTATTTCAGACAACGTGGCATCAAATTGAATCAAAATATGAGGATATTACATCACAATGTGATGCTTCAGCATCACCATGCACTGCTGCAACATCGATATACAATGATGCCAACTTGTTTGGTTTGAGTCCCACTAAGGAGAGGGGAGTGTTGAGAGTGGTATCCTATCATCTGCTAAATTTAGCCATCAGAAAGCCTGCAACGCCCACAGAGGTGGGAATGACAAACTGACAGCACTGAGGCTGGTGATTTATTGTTGGCACTTACGGTGAGTTCCATGTCCTCCTCCTCTTTTTCTTTCACTGGCTTCTCTGGTTCCTCTGGCTCCTTCTCTTGAAGATGGATCTCGCTGGCCTGGGACATGTAAGGCATATCATCTTTGTTCTTGAACTCCAAGCTGAGGATTGAAGGAGGAAGTAGAATTCCTAGAATTACCTAAAGCAATAATAATGATAACAATAATCATCATAGTAAACAAATTACAATCATGATTGTTACTTAGTGTCAGATGGAACAACTCCCTCAGGACATTTGGGAAAAGAAAGATATGCGTGCATGTGGGTTTCTATGACAATAGAGTATGTGTCACTTCGGCTAATGTTATCAGAGCTCTGCAGTGCAACAAAGCATGTAACTCCTATAGCATTGCTGTGAGTGCTATGGCTAATTGCCTCTCGAATATTTTATCTGCTTGCTTATCAGATGTGTATTGTTACATACCAGAATATATTTACAAAACATTACATAAGGTCAATGGCAAGTGGGACCACGGGGGTGTTCAGAGCTTGGACCTGCAAATTTCTGCATTTTACCTAATTGGCAATATCAGACACACAAACAGTATTAATTTATACGGAGTGGGTTAATAGGTCTCAAGCTTGCTGTGTCCATACTTAATGCACCCAGGTAGTCAAGGCGTAAGCATGTGCGGATCTGAGGAGATAAGGCAAAGGCAGCAATAACAAATGCTGATGTGCTTAGCTATGTAGTCGCCTTAGATTTTGCTTCAGTAACCTAGCAGCCATGTAATGTTAATGCCAGCTTGTTCTTTTCTGCTTTCCCTCTCCTATGATGTGGGACTGAAGACAGCATTAAAATTACCTTGTGTGGATACATGCAATGAGTGATGCTTGGGGTTAAATCAGTAGTATAACTGAAGAGATACCATAATAATACAAAAAGAAGTGGCTTGTTTGTATTCACAAGCACAATAGCTTTTCCTGGTTTTGCTGTAATGTCACAGAAAATGGTTTTGTTATAAATCTCTCCCTAAATGACAGTGAAACCAGATAGTTAGCTTGTTGGCAGGTCAGGGAGGGTGACTGCTTGTTCTCATCCTATCGAGAGACAGCATGTGTGTTGTTGAAACTGTTCAAAGTACTGCAAATACATGCAGTTAGCATATGTGAATGGTGTGCCCAGCCTTCAAAGAGCTGTGCACCAGGCTGCCTGCACTGCTTCTGCACTCAGTTTGTGGCAAAAGGATGTGCCCAGGGGGAGGGGGTTATGGGCAGACCTGGCTTCCCAAAGAACAGACAGGATTAACAATTGCCTCTCCCACTCCCATTGGTGCTGTACATCCCCAGAGAGACTCTAAAGAGTTACATTCAGCCTTCTTGTCATTTGCCAGTTTTGACGGGAAAAATTGTTCATGGGAAATAATCCATGACTCATGCTTGCACATTTATTTCTTTGCCATGCTGCCTCTTGCTCATGTAGCTTGTAGCCTGCTTTAGCTTTAAACAGGCCCCGCTAATGAGCTTCAGTGAAATAAAACACAGACTGTAAAGGATCCTTGTGAAGCCCTGATGTTACAAGAAGCTGAAAGTCTGTTACCTTCAGTTATTCATTGTGAATGAAAGATCTTTTTTATAGCTTAAGAGATGCATGCTACAAAGAAGAAAGCATGCAGTGGGAAATGAGTTGCTGCACTGATCCCCATCTACCCAGGCTGAATATCTGCAAAGCCAAGCAGTGAACAATGCAGCAGTCCCTCTGAAGGGCAATGGGTTGAGTAAGAAAAATAAGTAATAAAGATGTCTCCAAATGTAAGAATGCTTTCTATCTGTAAGCACAACAATATTTACACACAGCTCCTGCAGGAGGATGATGAGAATCCTATCAGTCACTTATTCTCATTCATCACTGTCACTGGATTAGACCCAGTATGATAACGATGCATGTACTCATAAGCTTTCTCGCCATTACCGAATATCTTTTCATACAGTAAAACAGCTGGGCAATTACCACTTTTCACACACACGATTAATGCAAGACAGAGAACTCCACTGCAAATATTTCTCAGTTGCCTGTGAGGAAGAGGCAATTCTTGGTCACGTACTGACTGCTGAGTACTTTGGTGAAGGTGAAAGATGTGAACCCATGGACACAAATTCACCTTCCAGAATTCACCCTGCTCTGTTAGCAGTTTCACTAACTGTGAAAGCAAAGCTTAAACAGCTTTGAAAATTGAATTATCCTCTAGATCCTCTAAGGTAGTCCCTTCAGGTCAATCATCAGGAAGATTGGCAGGGGATTGTAAGAAAATTTGTACTGCTTACTTTGGCCTGTTCTGGGGAAGGTTGTCAGGTCAGCATCTTTCACTAGTGGTTAATTCACTTACACATCCTTTTTCGTTATTTATCTTTAAAAACCTTGGTTAACTCCTTAAGTATACAGGCAGGGTGACATATGAACCTCCTGGCTCAATTCTTATTCTGATAACTCTCACTGATGCCAGAGGGAGCCTTGAGAAAGATGATATAAAAACTAAGTAACATGCTCTGAACTTGAGTTTGTGATAAGCTCCCTGCTGAAAAACTGAACACAGGAAGAATATACCCTGCTTAATGTCACTACAAATAAGCACCTGAAATATGGTCAATTGAGCCAGTTGTTACTGATTTGTTGTGAGCCCTGTCACCATCTATCAGAACTCCTCTGACTGCTAATTTTATTTTAAAACAGTGCTGACCTTTAGGCCAGAATTTTTGCGCATCCGGAGGCGACCCATCCACATGTCTGTGAGCAGCATTTGGCTGCAAGTGTGTGCAATGAAGTCCCTGTGCTTGGCTGCCACCGCGAGCTGCAGGCATGTGGCATTGCTCCAGTTCTTCAGCTCGTAGGTCAGCAGTTTCATTGCCAGTTGCTCATCCTGCTTGTATGACTGGTCCAACAGCTCCACCGCCAACTGGCCGAAGTCCCTGCAACAGAGGGACATTCGTTCATTCCCATTAGCCCAAGCAGCCTGCTGCAGAAAACATTCCTCTGCAACCGACAAGTCTCTGCAAGGCGGGTATCACCTTCCATCATGCAAATCGTGATGTTGACTGTACACATGGAAACCCACATTTTCAAATGTGAGTGGCTAATAGTAGGCATATAAATAAGTGCCCCGACTTAGCAGTGATGAGCACCCACACCTACCAGCTGTCTGCTCCCACCTGCCTGCCCACCTCCCTGACATTTTCTAGCTGAAATCCTCTGGTTATCTGCAACTTAGAGGATTGCTTCTGTGCTGTTTGCTCACGACTTCCTGGTCAAGTGTCCTGGAAAAAGGAGTGTCCAATACACTTTTTAAATTCTTTTAACATGAGAAAAGATTATTATGGAGTCTAGTATCTTGGCTTGCTCACCTAAGCGTGAGCTTTTGGTTAATCAACACTCCAGCCTGAATATTATGTTTGTAAGGATTTCAAAAATTGTACTGCTTGGGATGTACAGAGTGTCTTGAAAAAGCACAGAGGAAGGTTGCAGGCTGATTCTTGAGGCCTCAGGGAGAACACATAGACAATATGGATATTTCATTGCCTTCTTGACACCTTCTCGACACCTTCTCATTTGAGAAGTTATACTGGTAGCAACTCTGCTTCTCTGCCAGACAGATTGTTTAAAAGCCATTTAAACTTTCTCTAAAGGGACTACATTTTCC